TGGATAAAGTGAAACCCATTATCCTAGTCCTGTCATCGCAGGTGGTTAGATGGTCATTTTTTCAGGACTTTTCTTGTCTTGTTTATGTAAAAAACATAAAATTGTTGATACATTTACATGTTTTTACTCTTTTTGTTTATATTTTTTTTTGTGATCAATTATTATTTTTACCTTCATTTTCTTAAGTTTTCACAGATTATAAATAAGAGTAAAAAACAAATTTGAATCACTGTATAAATAAATATAATAATTTGTTAATTGTAAAAACTGTTTTTAAGTCCATCCATCCCGCCGATCCATCTCTCCCGGCTTTCCCCTAATTAGAATTCCTAGATTTGGAGAAAGTGAAACCATTATCCTAATCCTGCTATCGCGGGTCATTTTTTCAGGATCTTTCTTGTCCTGAAGTCTTCGTCCTTGAAAAATAGCGCCAAAACCATAAAGATGCTCTGAATTTATTCGTTTCGTCTGCGTCGTCGTCTCGGGTCCGGTTTTCGGCAAAAAGTGCCCGATTTTTCGCTCACCCATACTCATCCGACACTATGAAATATTTATGTTATGCGTTCGGATGTTATCTATGTGGAAAAAGTCCCGTAGACGCCGTGTGTTTAAAATTCTACGCGAGTTTCGTCTGCTAAATATTGATGATAGGTTGGTCCTGAGATGTGATTTTTGCACTCAAGAATAAAATCGACATTTAAAATATTTATAATCTAATTGCGATTAGAACGGAGGAGCAGTGAACGGGAAAGCAGCAAGACGAGTTTTACTTATTTTATTATTAAGAAAAATAAGGCAGATAATGAACGATCGATCATAAATAATTAATCGATTCATGCATTATTGATCGGGAACTATATGATAAAACACGATGCTCGTTAACATTATAATATTGGACGCGTTCTTGTACCGAACCAAAACAGTCGGCTTTAATTGATCGAAGCTTGCTTGATGACAGAAATCGTCAAAAGTCTTGTTCACTCACACAGAATGGATTTTCTTTAATGATTCTGAAATCAACTGAAAAACATACAGCTTGAACTAGCATTGAAATCACCAGTTATTTCAGCAAAACATCAAGATTTTAATCAATTATTTCAGACAAATTAGGACAATATATCAAATAATTTAGCATTGAAATCATCTAGCAAATAAAAAAGCTTCATGTTGGTTTATCAAATTAGCAACTCTTAATTGTCCAAATTGCATTTTTATAACACAAATTTTTGTCTCTTTTTTTGTTTAAAAACTTATATAGAGTGATTCAAAATATCTAAAATCAACAAAAATAAAGTTAAAACGCAATAACAGAAACGCAAACTTAAGAACGTAATCGTAGACGTACAAACTAAATAACAATACATAAAACTGCAAAAACACATAAACGTATTCGTTAGAACTCAAACGTAACAAATACCCATTACGTATCCTAAAAAAGTTCGTAAAACAAAAAAAGTATGCTTATTTTTACATAAAAATGTCCAAATGTTAGACCGTAAACGTAAAATCGTAAAGTAAAGAATGTAAGAAGATTAAAAGTAAATTGTAAGAACGTAAACGTAAAGCCGTAAAAACTTGCATATGTAAAAAAAAATTTGCTTAAACATAAAAACGCAAGCTTAAGAAATCAAAAATGTAAACGTGCAAACAAATAACAATTCATAAAAATGTAACAACAATGAAATGTATTTGTTAGAACGCAAACGTAATATACAAAACATTACGTATCGTAAAAACTTAAGTAAAGACGTAACTTTAACGCAAAATGCAAATTTTGTGTTAACACAGGCAGCTTAAGAATCTAATAGCATAAGAACGTAAAAATTTAAACGTAAAAGTAGAAAGTCAGAAACGCAAGAATATTGAAAGAAAACTGCAAGAARGTAAACGTGTGTATGCAAAAAAGTATTAACAATTTTTGCGTAAACGTAAAAACGTAAGTTTAAAAAATTAAATACATAAACGTACAACCTAAATAACAATATACAAAAATGTAACAACACTGAAACGGTTTTGTTAGAGCGCAAACGTAATATACAGAAACATTACGTACCGTAAAATCTTAAGTTTGTAAAGTGGAGTACACTGCTTATTTTTACATAAAAATGTTAGACTGTAAACATAAGAACGCAACTTTAACACGAAATACATCTTTTATGTTAACATAAGAACGTAATAGAAGAAAACCAAACGTCAAGGCTTAAGAATCTAGCGTAAAAAATAAACTTAACGTAAACTTAAACGTACCTAATAAAAGTAGGTAAGTAAACTAAAGTTTGTAAAACAAAAAAAAGTTTAATATACAAAACATTACGTATCGTAAAAACTTAAGTAAAGACGTAACAAAACGCAAATTTTGTGTTAACACAGGCAGCTTAAGAACGTAAAAGCTTAAGAATCTAGCGTAAAAAGTAAACTTAATGTAAACTTAAACGTACCTTATAAAAGTATTTCAAACTAAAGTTTGTAAAACAGAAAAAAGTATGATTTTTTACATAAAAATGTCCAAATGTTAGACTGTAAACGTAAAAACGCAACTTTAACGCAAAACACAACTTTTATTAACACAAAAAAGTAATTAGAGAAAGGCAGCTTAAGAATCTAATTGTACAAGAACGTAAAACTTTACACGTAAAAGTAGAAGGCTAGAAACAAAAAAATATTAAAAATAGTTTGTAAAAACGTAAACGTAAAGACGTAAAAACTTGCATATGTAAAGAAAATGTAACAGTTTTTGTGTAAACGTAAAAACGCAAGCTCAAGAAATCATATATGTAAACGTGCAAACAAATAACATTACTTACATAAAAATGTAACAACACTCGCAAACGTATTACACAGAAACATTACGTATCGAAAAAACTTAAGTTCTGTAAACGTAAAAACGCAACTTTAACGCAAAACACAACTTTTATTAACACAAAAAAGTAATTAGAGAAAGGCAGCTTAAGAATCTAATTGTACAAGAACGTAAAACTTTACACGTAAAAGTAGAAGGCTAGAAACAAAAAAATATTAAAAATAGTTTGTAAAAACGTAAACGTAAAGACGTAAAAACTTGCATATGTAAAGAAAATGTAACAGTTTTTGTGTAAACGTAAAAACGCAAGCTCAAGAAATCAAATACGTAAACGTGCAAACAAATAACAATACATAAAAATGTAACAACACTGAAACGCAAACGTAATACACAGAAACATTACGTATCGAAAAAACTTAAGTTCTGTAAACGTAAAAACGCAACTTTAACGCAAAATGCAACTTTTGTGTTAATACAAGAAAAAAGCAACTTAACAATCTAAAAGTAGTAGTAAAAGAAGAAAGTCAGAAACGCAATAATATTGAAAGAAAACTGCAAGAACGTAAACGTAAAGACGTAAAAACGTTACCTTAAGAAATTAAATACGTAAACGTACAAACTAAATAATATATAAAAACGTAACAAACGTATTCGTTAGAACGCAAACGTAATACACAAAAACATTACCTACCGTAATAACTTAAGTTTGTAAAGCAAAGTGCACTGTGCTTATTTTTACAMAAAAATGTTAGACTGTAAACATAAGAASGCAACTTTAACGCAAAACACAACTTTTATGTTAACGCAAAAACGTAATAGAAGAAAACCAAACGTAAAAGCTTAAGAATCTAGCGTAAGAACGTAAACAGTAGAAACTTAAAAACGTAAATTGCCAAAACTATAGCGTATAAATTTAAGCACTAGGAAATCTAAGTTGTGTTTTTTTAAGTAAGAAACATGAAAAAACTTTAGTCAACAAAGAAAGTAACAATAACGTAAGAGAGTAAAAACTTAAGTGCTTACCTTAACGATTTAGTATTATGTAAACTCAGAAACTAAACAAAAATACGTAAAAATGTAAGAACTCTAAAAGGAAGAAACGTAGTCGTAATCGTTAACGCAAACTAGAGTAAGTTGTACCTATTTTTACGAAAAAAGTGTCTAAATGTTAAATTGTGAAACACAAAAACGTAGTAGTAGCAAACGCAAACGTAAAAACTTAATCGCTCAATAATATAAAAAAAACAAACGCAAAAACGTTATTTAAATACTTATTGAAAGTTAACGTAAAAATGTAAGCATAACAAACTGAATTGAAAATCAAAGAACTAAAAACGTAAGTTTCTTGGTTCTTGATCTAGCATCAAAATCACTGATCATTTTGCAATTAGACACATTTTTTAGCTTTAATTTGGCTAGAATTAGATAAAAAATAATTGCTAGAGAAATGTAGCTTGATTTAGCAATGAAATCACATCAAAAATKGCAAAAACCCAGATTTTAGGAATCTTTTTTATTAAATTAACAAATCATGAAAGAATAGTATATTATTCAACGTTTGAGAAAGTTGCGACAAGAGTCGAAGACGAGTTTTTAATTGTCAACATACATATAAGAATACAAACGCAAAAACGTTAATATATTAAAGTTTAATGCAAGAGGGCAAAAACTTAAGAACAAAGAAATCTAAATTTATTRAGATARTAAAGATGTAAGCATAACAATTGAACTCAAAATCAAAAAACTAAAAACGTGAGTTTTTTGGTGCTTGATCTAGCATCGAAATCACTGATTATTTTGCAATTACACACATTTTTCAGCCTTAATTTGTCTTTAATTAAATAAAAAATAATAYCTAGAAAAATGTAGCTTGGTTTAGCACTGAAACAACATCAAAAGATAGAAAAAACCCAGCTTTTAGAAACACTTTTTTATTAAATTAACATAAGAATAGTATATTATTCAACAAGTGAGAAAGTTATCTTCCACGTAGATGAAATTTACGATACGAGCCAAAGACGAGTTTTTTATTGTCAACATAAACATTACCAAATTTTTTTTCTTCAATTTTCTCAACTGAAAAAAGTGCAAATTCTCTAATAACGACTTAGTCTGTGCCTGAAAAATTCTCGTTTTCGTCCGTTGTTTCCGGTCTCGACCGATTTTTCAGCCGAAATCATGAAATTCTGTTTTGTTTCAGGCGACAAACCGCACGCTTGCGACCTCTGTAACAAGAAATTCGCACTGGCGTGTAATCTGAGAGCCCACATGAAGACCCACGAGGGTGAGTATTGTATCAAGCTCAAGTTATTGATTATTTAGGTTAAAAGTTAATTTTTTTAGATAGACAATTTATCAATCTATTAGATGCAAACATAAAAAATAGGGTGTCCCATTTAATTTTTTTAAGTTATTTAACTTTGAACAAACATCTTAAATTACTAATCTTTACAAATGCAAAACACTAAAAAATTGAGTAAAAAGTTTTGTAATAAACTTTATAATAAATTGAGAATAAGAAAAGTTGTCAAATTTTGCATAAGAATCTATTTCAAAGATTTAAAAATGAAAGAATTAATATCTCATTTATTTGTCACGTAAGTGTGACGTTGAAAAAATATCCCACACAAACTTTAGAAAAAAAATAAAATTTAAAATAATCGATTCAAATATTTTTTTTTATTTAAACGATTAAAATTTTGCAAATTTTGCCAATTCAGGAACAAATGGAAATTTTCGAAATAAGTCAAAATAAAACGAAATTAAAAAATCTCATCACGAGGTTATTGAAGCCTCAAAATGACCGTGTTTTGTCCAAAATTTTTAGAGTTACAAAACACTGAATTCAAAAAATTTTTATAAATTGAATCCTAAACATCTGAGAATTCCAAGTTCTCGATCTAGGAAATGAATTCTAAGATTGTAAAAATTCACTATTTTGAAAATTTTGAGAATTCTAATCAAAAATAAAAGGAACCAAAAGAAAGAATTAGGAAATTATTTGAGCAAATTTAAGCTTTTTAAAACTAAAATTTGAAAAATTTGCAAAATTCTAGCTGTCGGAAATTTTCATTGTCGAATCCAGAAATTAAAGAATTTAAAAATTCTAAAAATGCCAATTTTTTTACGTTTTATAAATTTTCAGAAATTTAAAAACAACATATCAAATCCGAGAATTAACAAATTCAAAATAAAATCAGAAATCTCAAAAATTCCGAGAATCTAAGTTTGATAAGAAAAAAAATTTAGCAATCTAAAATATTTTCAGATTCTAACACAAAAAATTATGGCATTTAAAAATCAAAGAATCAAAAATTATGAATTCTAAACATTTAGAGTCCAGTCATCAAAAAAATAAAATAAAATCATTAAAAAATCGATCTTGAATCCTAAGGAATCTAAAAATGCAAGGACTCAAAAAATTCAAAAATTAAACTATTTCATGTGTAATCCAAAAAATCAAATAGAATAAAAAGATTTGTAATAAATTTTATAATAAATTGAGAATAAGAAAAGTTGTCAAATTTTGCATAAAAATCTATTTCAAAGATTTAAAAATGAAAGAATTAATATCTCATTTATTTGTCACGTAAGTGTGACGTTGAAAAAATATCCCACACACAAAAAAAAAAAATTTAAAACAATCGATTCAAATATTTTCTTTATATTTAAATGGTTAAAATTTTGCAAATTTTGCCAATTCAGGAACAAATGGAAATTTTCGAAATAAGTCAAAATAATACGAAATTAAAAAATCTCATCACGAGGTTATTAAAGCCTCAAAATCGCCGTGTTTTGTCCAAAATTTTTAGAGTTACAAAACACTGAATTCAAAAAATTTTCATAAATTTCAGGAATTCAGGTGAAGAATCCTAAACATCTGCGAATTCCAAGTTCTCGATCGAGAAAATGAATTCTAAGAATGTAAAAATTCACTATTTTGAAAATTTTGAGAATTCTAATCAAAAATAAAAGAAACCAAAAGGATGAATTAGGAAATTATTTGAGCAAATTTAAGCTTTTTAAAACTAAAATTTGAAAAATTTGCAAAGTTCTAGCTGTCGGAAATTTTCATTGTCGAATACAGAAATTAAAGAATTTAAGAATTCCAAAAATGCCAATTTTTTTATCAAATCCGAGAATTAACAAATTCAAAATCAAATCAGAAATCTCAAAAATTCCGAGAATCTAAGTTTGATAAAAAAAATAGCAATCTAAAATATTTACAGATTCTAACACAAAAAAATTATGGCATTTAAAAATCAAAGAATCAAAAATTTTGAATTCTAAACATTTAGGTCCAGTAATCAAAAAAATAAAATAAAATCATTAAAAAATCGAATCTTGTATCCTAAGCAATCTAAAAATGCAAGGACTCAAAAAATTCAAAAATTAAACTACTTCATGTGTAATCCAAAAAATCAAATAGAATAAAAAAATATAGAGAATATTCTTCCTCAACCAAGAAATTTGTATTTTATTGATATTTTTTGAAAAATAAATCTTAATAAATTATTAGAAATCATGTGTTTTCTTTAGAATAGTTTATTTGTGAGGGTAATTGGTAATTTTTCTATTTAATTTTCAAGGAAAAGCTACTTTTAGGCGATCTTAGTGCAACGCRATCAAAAAAAAGTTTTCTTTCAATTTTGAAACTTATGTGAAAACATAGTAAATATATGAAAGTATTTATATAAATTTTTTAAGAATTTTAAAAACCTGCGTAATTGTTTATTTTTTTGTTTAAACAGTATATTTTTAAATTATTTGTTAATAACAAATTTTTAGAATATATATCTAGTATTAAAAAAAAATCGTTTTAATATGTTCATTTGCTCTTTAAATAAAAATTCTTTTTGTTGGGAGGTACTTAATTTAGTACATCCCTGTTTTTTACGAAAATCAGAAAGAATGAGTTTTTAAAGTGATCGTTTTACTCTCCTACAAGAATCGCTGCTGTTGTTAATAAAGTTTCCCGCATTTGCATTCGCCACACTTTTATGAAATTAATGAGAATAACGTAATTAAGACATGACCAATCGGTGTAAACACGCGCAAATATTTCAATAATTTTCTATAAAATCACGGGTGTGGCTTCGATTTACAATAAATTGTGAATATTCATAAATTTACATGCGTTGTTGTTCTTTTTCGATTGAAGAAGTGGTGTGGGTTGCAAATAACCACCACAGACTTTATCGATTAGCAATTACCATATTTGTTGTTATGAAACGAGCTGTTTTATTCAAAGTGCACTGCAATTAGCGGTTTTTTGCGAAAATTATTAATCAGTTTTTGTCTTATAAAACGCTTACAATGGAATAAGTTATAAATAGCGAGACTTTACTCTCTTACACACTTAAATCGCCGCTGCAATCTTGCACATAGAAGGTTAAAACCGCTGAAAAACTCACTCAATTATCGACAGTTTTTCAGGCGAATACCTGGGAATGGTATTGCAACCACAAAACGCACAAAAAACGCATTTTTAACCCCTAGACAAGGAAATTGTTCTTTACAACCGAATAGGGAACCAAATCTAGCATGATTTTTTTATTTTTTAATAACAATGAGAAGAAATCATTATCATACAGGGTGAATATAAAGTATGGAACCAAGCGGTTTTATTTTTAATCATTTGCTTCCAGAAAATAATAATTAATACAAATTAAAGTAATATAAAAAATGTGATCATATTTTCAGAACGAAATTTTGTTTCGTTTTTGAATTATGCGATTTTTTTTGTCAAAATTGCAATTTATGTAAAAAAAATTTTTTTGATAAAATTAAATATAAAGAAGATAGTTGTAATCCTTAGAGTATAGCTGTTATGAGAAAAATTATTTTATAGTGGGTGCCATTTAAAAACATAAATTTTTTTTGTACAACTCAAAAACAAAAGAAAATTTCGAAAAATTTTATTCTCGTTAAATTATCACATTTTTATAGTACTTTATCACTCATCAATTAGTTTTTTCAAAAAATAAATAGTTTAAGCAAAAAACGTTTGGTTCCATACTTTTTATTCACCTGGTATATAATCTTACAAGAGTTCATTTGCAAAAATAAAATTTATTGCTCTTATCACAAGGCCTCAAGTCGGTTGTTAATAATTATAACATGACTGTTATTTGACAGTGACTGATTTATAACATTTCATTTCTCCTTCCGGCACCTGGAAATAATAAAACACTGCATATTAATACAGTTTTCTCTCATTATTGACAAACCAAGTTTGCATATTTTTAAATGATATAGGGTGACTCCACTGAGATAGCCGATTTACTACTAAATTGTCTGAAATGTACATTTTTATTAAAAAAAAGATATTGAAGTAAAAATTTGCATATCTATAGTTTGACGTTTCAGAGAAGTACAGAGTGATTCAAGTGAGAATCACTCAATCAATCAATCGTTTTAGCCAAGTCGCTCTGTATATTTTTAAAACAAACAAAAAAAAATGTGTATTTATGTCATTTTATAGATACAGGCTAATTTAATTGAAACAACATCAGTCAAATCACCCTGTACATGTTGCCAATAAATGAAAAACATTTAATTAAGCGTTTTTTTCAAATAATCTTTTTTAACTTAACGTCAAACGAGGTCATCTTAGCCAAATCACTTTGAATACTTTGATAAATGTTGAAAAACTTTTAGAAAAATTGTTTTTAATTAAAAAACAAAGGCATTTGTAATTTTGAAAAAGCTACAAGATGATTCAAGTGAGAATAGTTATGGTAGTACTTTTATCACAATTAAAAACATACATTCATCCATTATTTTTGGTGTGATTTAATCGAGACCATCTTCACCGAATTATTCTGTAGACTAAGGCATGTTTAATTAATAATGTTCTTATTTTTAAATAAAAAAAAACATTCCTAAACCTACATGGTGATTCAAGTGAGAATAATGAAGGTTGTACTTTTATGACATTTATGCATTTTTAGTGTATTTTTGTAAACGAGGCCATCTGCGCTGAATCATCGTGTATACTTTGATAATAATGAAAAAAAATATTTAAGTATTTTAGTTAAAATAATAATGTTTTTAATAAAAAAATTAGCGTTTATAATTTTTTATACAGAGGTTGATTTAAAAAAACCATTCGCGCCYAATCAATCTGACAATAATTGAAAAAAATGTGAAGTTTTAAATTTTAAGTGAAAAAGTAATGTATTTAATAAAAAAAATAAGTTTCTATTAATTTTTAATGTAATTCTGTCGTTATATAATGCATTTAAACAAAGACATATTTGCCAAATCACCCTGTACACTTAG